GCACCGACGCGACGACGAAGGCGATGCCGACGATGGAGTAGAGGCTCACGAGCACGTTCTCCGTCGCGAAGATGAGCACGCCGAAGGCGATGGGGAAGCAGATGTAGAAGCCCTCGAAGAGCGACGCGCGGAGCTCGATGAACGTGTCGCACCACAAAAACTGCCACGCGCCGTCGTAGGAGAGGTGGCCGCCCTGCGCCGGCAGCAGGCCCTGCCGCGCCTCCGTGAACTTGACGACGCGGTTGATGACCTTCTTCCGCGCGCGGATGCCCCGGTTGAGCTTCATCGTGAGGTACGTCGGCACGGTCACGTACCTTAAGCTCCCGTCGACGACGCCGACGTAGTCCTTCCACGACGTGCCGTCGAACTGGGCGCCGTAGACCATGCCCGGGTAGGTCGTCGACCGGAAGAGGCGGACCTCGCCGTCGAACTCCGCGCGCGTCGCGTTCCCGAGGGACACCGTCGCCGTGCCGAGGCCCGCGGCCTTCCAGGCCTCGAACTCCTCGTAGAAGCACGTCACGCTCCCCGGGAGGTGCAGCAGCCCCAGCGCGCACTCGTCGGCGCCGCAGGGCGCGGCCCGCGCGGCCGCGCAAAAATCCAACATCGCGCCGCGGCCCGCGGCGTCGTAGAGGTCGAACGCGTCGCTCCACTTGGGGAAGCCGCGCTTGTAGTCCGGCTCGTACTCGTTGTAGTCCTCCTTCCCCAGGCCGTCGATGCCGAAGGTGTAGAACACCTCGCAGTACTCCGACGCCGCGCCGACGATGTAGTCCTCCTGCATGTCGCCTAAAAACCCGGAGAACATGTGCGCGTCCGGGAAGAACTCCTCCTGGTCCTTGGGCATGTCGAGCTGCCCCGCGAAGTAGACGTTCAGGATGCCCAGCCCCAGGAAGGCGCCCGCGCAGCACGCCGCGCCCAGGGGGAACGGCCGCTCGCCCGGCGTCGGGTGCCATTTCATCGCGGGCAGGTAGACGTGCTCGAAGAACGGCTCCACGGACGGCAGACGGAAGCCGGCCTTTGGCTGCGTGTCGCCGCCGCCCTCGGGCGCCACCTTCTGGCGCGGCTTCGCCGGGCACCAGCAGCAGCCGCGCTCGCAGACGAGCATGCACGTCGGGATCATCGTCAGGACCATGATATAATTCATGATCACGACCATCGCCGCGAAGACGCCGAACGTGCGCACGGGCATGAGCGGGCTCAGGCCTAAACATAGGAACGCGACGGCCGTCGTCAGCGACGTGTTGAAGACGGCCTCCATGGTCCGCGAGAAGCTGTAGAGGAGCCGCCGCAGCGTCGTCTCGTCCGGCGACTCGACCTCGGGCACGTCGACGAACGACTGCTTCCACGCGTCCAGGAGCACGAAGTTGTCGTCGGCGCCGATGCCCAGCACGAAGAAGATGGAGCACAGATGCAAGAACGCGAAGTACTCGAAGCGGAAGACGAAGCGGTAGACGAACGCGGTGATCGGCACGGACATGAGGATCTGCGCCATGCACGCGGCCGTGTACGCGCAGGACCCCGTGTGGATCCGCACCCAGAACGTGACGAAGAGGATCGTGAAGAGCATGTAGACGGAATCCATCTCCTGCATGCGCAGCCACTCGAGCCGCTGGAGGAGCCACGCGAAGCACCGGAAGTCGACGCCGCCGTAGCGCCACTCGTCGAGGTACGCGCTCAACAGCACCGTGCTCTCGACGCC